GCCACGAGGCTAAAGCCATGGTAATTTTCCTTTCCCAAAGCGGGGCTCATTTCTCTATAGCTAAGAATTTTTGCTCCATAGTCACTAAATTGTAGTGGCTATGCGATAGATTTTTATTAGTGGACTCGGAATCCGCATTATCTAATGGCTGAACTTTCCATCATTAACTTTTCCTGCGTTCTTTTATTAGTTAGACCACGATCAATCCGTGATCAGTTTACTATCATTCAGCCTGAACATCAATCGTTCAAACTGTTTACTGAGCATCAGACATTTAATCCAAATCCAACATATTTGTCCCAATTTTCAATGATTACAATTATTTTCACATTTTAAAAATAATCTCTTCGCGGGATAAAACCTCACACGATCTATTTTCTTCAAAAAACAAAAATATTTTGGAAGTGGGTCCTTACAGATGGCGGAAGTCAAACCACCGGAGATGTTGTGTTAGATCTGAAAGCGAAACTTAAGGTGGCGGAACCTATAACGCTTTCTGGAATATTGACTATCATACATTTTTGTATCCTCAAATATATTTGAATATTTAATTATTTCTATTTACAGTTGTTTGTTATAGCATAGATAATTAGACGTGATGCACATAATGACCGACAGTGTTTAAAAAATACAATGTTTAATATGAAAAATTAAATTGTCTTCTCTGCAAAAAAAATCTATATTATAATAGTAGACTTTTAAGGTTCCACAACGCGCCATGTCAATAGTTTTGTGGGTCCCGTAGGTATTTTTTAAACTCCCATAGTATTGATAAGGTGATTACAAATAATAAAATACACTTTAACCAAGTGGTATAAGGTGTTTAGGCATGCAAGATCGTGGGTTCAAACTACGCAGCTATCATGTATTTTTGTTTTTTTTATTTGAGTTATTATCATATAGGTTTTTTGTTTATAAGGTTTTTATAATTTTTTGGGGCTTATTGTTTTAAAGACCAAAATAGTTGGATAATCCCTAGAACTTAACAAGTTCAAACCGAAAAATAATTAAAAACAGATCCAAAAATGAACAATAAAAAAATCTATATTATAATAGTAGACTTTCAAGACTCCACAACGCGCCATATCAGCATTTTTGTGGGTCCCGTAGGTATTTTTTAAACACCCATAGTTTTGGTAAGGTGATTACAAACAATAAAACACACTTTATCCAAGTGGTATAAGGTCTTTAGTTAAGCATGCAAGATCGTGGGTTCAAACCACGCAGCTATCATGTATTTTTGTTTTTTTTTATTTGAGTTATTATCATATGGGCTTTTTTTTATAAGGTTTTTATAATTTTTTTTGGACTTATTGTTTTAAAGATCAAAATAGTAAGATAATCGCTAAAACTTAACAAGTTCAAACCCAAAAATAATTAAAAATAGATCCAAAAATGAACAATAAAAAAACAAAAAAAAACAAGTCTCACGCGGTTGCCTACGTGAATGGCTCAGAGAGCCTTAAAACTATCCTATTATAATATAGCTCAACCCAACAATAATAAAAAATAAATCCAAACACGAACATACCAAAAAACAAAAAAAAAGTGAATCTCACGCGGCTGGCTACGTGGATGGCTTAATGAGGCTTAAATATTATAGATTAAGAGCTAAAAAATTAAATCATTGCATATATTTCCTAATATATATTTTCAAAAAATTTGTATGTGAGATAAATTAAAAAACAACAAAAATTAATTATTTTCGTTATTTATTAAATGAATATGTAATTTCTCTTACATTTTAATAACTACTATAATTTCATTGAAAACATTCCTCACCACCGATTCCAGACTCCAGCGAATGGATTCCCACAGTCGATGACGCCGTAGATAAAAATGCCACATCATTTATGAACAAAACTCAAACTTACAAAAAACCATATATAAAAACCTATCTAATGAAACTTAAACAACGAATATTAACTTAATTAAGGTTATTTTTAAATTGATAAATCGTTTAATACAAATTTAAGTACTATAAATATAGAGTTATATCAAGTTTTGACCTACGATATAAAAACTATTTATAGCAAAAACACCTACTTTTACACACTAAAAACTATATTATAGCCTAACTATTCCTATAAACCTTGCTTCGCATATAAATAACATTTAACACATTCCTAATATATTTTCAAAAAATTTGTATGTGAAATAAAATAAAATAAACAAAAAAAATTTAAGTATTTTTCGTTATTTATTAAATGAATATGTAATTTCTCTTACATTTTAATAACTACTATAATTTCATTGAAAACATTCCTCACCACCGACTCTAGACTTCAGCGAATGGATTCCCACAGTCAGTGACGCCGTAGATAAAAATGCCAAATCATTTATGAACAAAACCCAAACTTACAAAAAACCATATAGAAAAGCCTATCTAATGAAACTCAAACAACGAATATTAACTTAATTAAGGTTATTTTCAAATTAATAAATCGTTTAATACAAATATAAATACTATAAATATAGAATTATATCAAGTTTTGACATACGATATAAAAACTATTTACAGCAAAATAAAAATAAAAATAGACACCTACTTTTACACACTAAAAACTATATTATAGCATAACTATTCATATAAATCTTATTTCGCATATAAATAACATTTAACATTAGATATACAATATTTTCACTTTACATTCTTACTACATTCTTTCCATTTCATTATTATTTGGTAGCATTAGAAAAATCCACTAAAACAACAATAAAAAAATACACACAAATATAATGATCATGGCTTCGCGCTTGCGCGGGGAATATGCAACTAGTGCCTACAATGACCGACAGTTTTTAGAAAGTACAGTTTTTAATCTAAAAATGTAAATTTCAGTTTGTTGACAAATGTGTAACACAGCAATTCCGCAATCTTAACCAAGCATCCAAAACTTAAATTTTAGTATTGTTTTGAGGCGGGCGAAGACAAGATTCTTTTTTGCAAGTCAACAATCTCTTTCTTACCCGAAGTATACGTTCATCAAACGAAGTAAAAGTAAAGTTCATCAAACGTTACGACAACTATAACAGCACCAAATGCAACGTAAGAGGAACGCAGCGAAACTGATCCAACGCGTGAGATGCACACGCTATGTATCTAAACGTTGACCTTTAGTTTCACCGTTACTCTTCCCCCGTTATTTACTTCGCATTTCATTTCTACAAGTTTTCATTCAATTAGTCCTACTAATAGCTTAAGGGATTAGTAATCACTTTAAAGCGATTAGGCAACGTACAACTAAAGGAGTTTACAACTGGTTTTCATTCATTACGATGTTTGGCAAAGTTGGAAACTGAAAGAGTTTAGAAACAAAAAAATATTTCTAGTAAAGCCACGTAAGCAACAACTGAAAAGCTTCATGCACCTTACTTTTATTCAACACAAATTGATTAAAATGCTCTGAGTTACTACAATTTTTTAAAAGCACACTTAACCAAAAAGAAGGAAGAGAAACTGTTAGAAATACCATAAATTAAATAAGTAACATCTATAAAAAAATATACTAACAATTGGATTTAGATTTTAGGGATTATTGTTTAAGATTTAGTATTAAGAGATTGGGGTTGAATATATAAATGATCTATAAATATTAAAAATATTAGTTTAATATTATTTTATCATAAAATTAAGGTATTTATGTAAATAATCATTCATTAGTGGTAAATTTAAAAATGGGACCAAACTTGTGGTAGAATTGAAATTTCCTCAAAGAGAATGTAATTTTATAATTTTTTCAAAAAGGTATCTCTTTATATGCCTATGTAAATGGGAAAATTTCACTTTTACCTTTTATTTGGTACTATTATTTATGTTTACCTTTTCTAAATGTACATTTTCAAAAATACTTTATTACAAGACTTCATTAAAGAGACAAAAAACATTTATACCTTTGATTTTTAAATATAAATAAGTATTTAAATCATTTGTTTTTAAAACATATATTTTTAAAAAAATCGAATTATAACTTTTTAAATTCAAAATTTTATCTTATTTTGGATTTTGTCGAATTTTTCATTTTTATTTTTTTCTGATATTATTTTTCAAATACTTTTTGAAACTATTTTAAAAATTTTAAATTTTTATTTTAAGTATTTATATATATATTTTACTAAAACTCTAAAATTTTCCCTTCTCTAAAATCTAAACAAAAAAAAAAAGTCTAGGATTAACCATAGGGTTATAAGTGTCTATTTATCTTTTTACAATCAAAAGTAAATGTAATTAAGTTAAAATTGAAAAGGAGTACTAAAAATGCTAGTCTAGACAATTTTCCATGTAAAGTGTTGCTCAAACATCTATTTTTATTTCAATTTGTTTCAATATATTGATTATAAATAATATTTAATATATTTATAAGGGATAAAATATAAATTTTTGTACTATCTTGTAAAATTTGGAAAAATATTACAAAATGATACTCTTTATAAAATGAAAAAACTAGAATTTCTTTTATGTTACTTCATAGTAGTTGGTTGATGTTTAAATAATTATAATTTTATGAATTTTGAGTCTCATCAAACGTTTCAATTATACAAAAAAAAACTAAAAATTCTACTAAATTAATTATAAAATGTTATTGTGTTGTAATTAAATTTGAGTGAAACTAAGTAAAGGTAGAATTCAGGTTCCTTTCTGTGAGCTTTCCGCAACATTAAGAAAACAGTAAACAAATGGACGGTTTCGTAATTCGTATAACAAAACGTAAGTGGCCAAAAAGATGCTCAAAAACAAAATCGTATTATTGCAAATAATTCTAAAAGACTAAGTCAAGGAAAAATATAAAAACAAAGAATTAAACAGGGGTCCCACAACAAGCCAATCGTCAAATAGCCAGGCACATTTCCGCCACGTAGCCTAACACAGTCACGTAAGCCCTTCCTCTACATTACACGATCCAAAACTCAAAGTCTCTTCCACCTTAAAACCCCCCAAGAGAGAAGAAGAGACTCTCATCTATCTTCCCCATCTCTCTCTGCTAATCCTGCGCACCACCATGGGGAAAGGTCACGCACTAAGCGACGGAGTGATAAAGAAGATCCTCCTCTCCTACACCTACGTGGCAATCTGGATCTTCCTCAGCTTCACCGTCATCGTCTACAACAAATACATCCTCGACAAGAAGCTCTACAACTGGCCTTACCCAATCACACTCACCATGATCCACATGGCCTTCTGCTCCTCTTTAGCCATCATCCTCATCAAAGTCTTCAAGATCGTCGAGCCTGTCTCAATGTCTCGCGACACTTACCTCAGATCCGTCGTCCCCATCGGCGCGTTGTACTCACTCTCCCTCTGGCTATCCAACTCCGCTTACATCTACCTCTCCGTCTCCTTCATTCAGATGCTCAAAGCCCTCATGCCTGTCGCCGTTTACTCCATCGGAGTCTTGTTGAAGAAGGAGACGTTCAAGTCTCAGACAATGACCAACATGCTCTCGATCTCCTTCGGTGTCGCCATCGCTGCTTACGGTGAAGCTAAGTTCGATGTCTGGGGCGTTGTTCTTCAGCTTGGTGCCGTTGCTTTCGAAGCTACGAGGTTGGTTCTGATTCAGATCTTGCTTACTTCTAAAGGAATCAATCTTAACCCGATCACTTCTCTTTATTACGTTGCTCCTTGCTGTTTGGTTTTCTTGTCTGTGCCTTGGATCTTTGTGGAGCTTCCGGTTCTGAGAGAGACTTCCAGTTTCCATTTCGATTTCGTGATTTTCGGGACCAATTCGGTTTGTGCGTTTGCGTTGAATCTCGCTGTGTTTCTCCTCGTTGGGAAGACCTCTGCGTTGACTATGAATGTGGCTGGTGTGGTTAAGGACTGGCTCTTGATCGCCTTCTCCTGGTCGGTGATTAAGGATACGGTCACGCCGTTGAACCTTTTCGGGTACGGGCTTGCGTTTTTGGGTGTTGGGTATTACAATCATTGCAAGTTGCAGGCGTTGAAGGCGAAAGACGCGCAGAAGAAGGTTCAGGCTAGTGATGAAGAAGCTGGGAAGCTTTTGGAAGAGAGGGAGAGTGAAGTTGCTGGAAAACGTAGCGAGAGTCAAGATTGATTCAAGAATGCAGTTTCAGGGAATAAGAGCTGAAGGATGATTTTGGTTGTTTGTCTATGTTTAAGCTATGGCTAATTATATGATTACATAGTGATTTATGAAACTCCATTGGATCTTCGTTTGAGTTTTGTCTTTGTTATCTTTTAACTTTTAAAACTCCATATGAATCTATCTTTGTGGTAAACAGTTGCTGTAGTAGTTCTTTATATTTTGCATCATGAGAGTTCTTTCTTTCTCCTTTGAAAACGTACTTTGTTGGAAGTCAAAAGATGGTCATAGCAGAAATCATTTCAATATTTTATTGGGCAAGTCGGATGATCATGGGGAAGCAAGATCCATAATCTCGGGTAATACATCCCCCAGCTGAATAATTGCTGGACCACATTTCATATTAACACAAGTGTCTTTAAACCTCTCTAATTGGCTTTTCTTTCTTGTTAGAGTGTAGTTACTACATGTTAAATTTCACCTCAACAAGTTTCTGTTCTCAACAAGGAACATTTGGGAACTTCACTAGCTTTGACATAAAGCTGGTTTGGTTCCAGAATAAGATTCCTAAGCATGCATTGGTTTGTTCCTTTGTGACCTTGAATTCTAAAATAGCCTTCCTTCCTGACTCTTGGCAGCTCTGTGTTTTGAAAAGTGTTGTTCTGTTTCTTAAGATCTTTCAGGTTACATAGCTTTGTTTTGTGCTTTTGTTTTTGTTATTATTAGTTTATTACTCGCAGATTTTGGCTTTTTAATAAAACTAGATGGGGATGTCAAGTTTTTTTTCTTCAAAGTATCTCCATAAAAGCCCGTCTCTGTTTGTTCAAGTTGTACGAAAACTCTTTCGGGTGATCATGTAATAGATTCGGATCAAAGCTATAAATGGGTTTAGCAATGGTCATTTTACAGAATTTGACTTGGCTAAGAGGAAATAATCAAAACAAAAGAAAGAGAACATCAGCCATTTGTTCACTGGGGAGGCATCTTATTCCTCAACTTTACAAAGATTACTGATGTCTTGCATATTTTTATAGTTTTATCCATTTACCCATATGCTTTTTATTATATAGATTAGGATTTAATCATTTCTATGTTGCATTTTGCATACATAAGTTATTATCAGGTAATGAAGTATCTTTAGAGTACTTGGAGGTGATTGCATGGATTTGAGGTCCAAAAGAGGAGTTAGAGATGATTCTTGTACGAGCAGAAGCCGTACCGAGGTTCCAGAGCGACTCCCTGAAGTCACTCCACACCAGAGCGACGTCCAATATTGCTTCACGAAGTCGCTCCAACCCATGAACAAATAAGCAGCCAGAGCGACCCCTCAGAGCGACCTGTCGAGGTCCCTCCAATCCGGAGCGAGCACCCGCAGCGAGATCCTTTGGTCGCTCGCCTTTTTATCTTTTCTGGAAGTCGGAGATGGCCTTGGAGCGAGGTCCGGGAGCGACCTGGCCAAGTCGCTCCAGCCCTAGAGCGACCTGCCAGAGCAACAAGGCCAGGTCGCTGCGTGTTATGTTGTGACGAAAAACTTGTGTTATTTTAAGATCTTTTGATCATTTGCTTTATGTTTTGACATTCCCTAAACCTAAGTTAAGTATTCTGTAAGCCTACCATGCAGATCTATTCTTGATTTTGAAGAGAAAAACACAAAAACCTCTTGGAAAGTTCATCTTTTTGAATCATTCTTGTTGTTATTGTGATCTTGTTCTGTTTCATTAGATATTCTTCTCATCTTATATGATTAAAGCTTGAATCCAATATGGGTTTAAGAGGAATCATGAAGATTAGTGAGTAATCCACCTTTGAATTCATGGGATAGAGAGATTAAGGGTGATTAGACTAGAACTAGGATGTTTAGTGTAGGTTTCTCTTATTCCTACTAGTAGAGTATTCTTAATTTACCTTTTGAGTTGGCCTCTCAAAGGTTGAGTTTTAGACATTTCTCACCTCACAAGGTGTTCAATGAAATGTTTGAGTCAACTCTCCTAAGCTTTTAACACATTTTACCAAAGACATTTGTTGTTAAAGGTGTTAAGATAGCCAATAGACTTGTTTTTAAAGATTACTTATGTAACATTCAACCGAAGACATTTGATGTTTGAGCTATGTTAGTAAATAAGCATTCATCTAGACATAGAGCTTGCTAAGAAGTGTGTCTAGGCTTAAGGTTGATAGTTAAATTAATCATTTGCCATCCTTAGTTCGAAGTTTAATCACCTGAGGTCTAGCTAATCCCTACTCCCATATATTCTCCTTTCTCTCAATCAAAGAAGTTATTTTAGTATTCGTTTTTCTTATTCTTAGCTATAGTTTAAAATCAACATTATTTTGATTACACTTAGATTAAGTGAGTACTTGCATTCTCAGTGCTTTAAAAATCTCTTAGAATTGATTCGACAATCTCTTATACTATAACATTTGTTTTAGGAGCTTTGAAAACTCTAACTTCAAATACAATATTTTTATCTCTAGATTACAAAAAGAAAAATTATAGAGATAAATGATGTTTATGTGTGGCTTAGGTTAGAGAGTGTTTAGGATAAGGTATTTATAGCATAAACCTTTTCGTCATCTCTAACTCCTTAATGCTTAGACTAATGTCTTCTTTCTAGTGTTGATGTCAACCCCGTTTGACCCAAACACTTATGTTTTAGTTTGGTCAATACGTTACAATCGTCGTCAACACTAGCATCATTTGTAGCTCTTAATTGATCTTTGTTTCTTCTTATGGTTTCATCTATGTCCCCGTTTTGTAAAATGTATCATATGCTTTATCAAAAAAGATTCATAGACAATGAAAACAAAATAGATGAAAACAGTTCCACGAAGCGAATATTGGTGAGTCGAACAACATTTTCAGACTTCACCAAACATTAGATATATGTCACCATCCTCACGGACCGGATCACACATCGGTTAGCTTTGATAATTTTTTTTAACATATTGTTTTATTATAACTGATTTTGAACATATTACATCATAAAAGAATACACAAGACAAAAGATAATGGGAAAGTAACGGTCTTTCTGAACAGAAACTCGTGAAGATTATCATCCTTGATGACACAAATCAAATCAAATCTCCACGGACAATAATAAACCAAATCAGCAGTTCACAAACGGTCCGTATTCCATCACGTGGCTCTCTTATAAACTGCCACGTCGACACCTATTTATTATAACATCCATTTTTCTCTTCTCCGTTTCCCGGACCGGAACAGCTTCTATAAACCGTGATCGGACACTACCTCAGAGAGCGAATTATGCGAAACTTTTCGCAGATCTCTGCTGTTCTACGTCGAGGGGTTTCTTCAAGACGAAGAAGACTCTCCAATGGCTTCCACTTCGTGGCTCGTTCCAATTGCACAGCCTCTGATCCTCCAAATCAAACACCATCAGGTACTGTCTTCCTCATTACACATTCCTTCAATTCTGTTTACAAAATCTTTTGTCTTATTAGAGAGATATTGGAACTGCTTCTTGGTAGGTCCATTAACGAGTTACTGTAAGCTAGTGGAACAAGGGAGGCTTCAACATGATCCGTACCAAGAGAAAGTCGCTTCAGCCTTCCAAAACTTGTTTGGAAGATTAGAACAATTCGAGAAAGAAATGGAAGATTATCATGTAACAATCCTTTAATTAATACTATAGGTTTTTAATTATTATGTGCATTTATGTGGTGTATATATTTTGATGTTTTCAGGTGAGATTAGAAGTGTGGGAGAAGAAGAGAGAGGAAGAGAGACGAAGACTAATGGTGGAAGAGGCTGAGAAGAAGGAAGACGATGGTGTGTGGGCTTCTATGAATAAACAAGGGCAAAAGCTTTTAGGAAGATGGGTCCTAGGGTGAGGCTATTATCTTTCTTTAGTTGTAAAGTTTGTTTCTTCTTTTTTTTAATTCAAATGGGCTTTGTCTGTTTGTTGATGTTTAGGCGAAGACAGATGAATGTAGAACCTGGAGTTGGTAAATGGGTTTCTTACCTTAACCGAGAGAGGAAACTGGATTCGATTGTCGGTTCTCGTCCTGCAATACCTTCAGCTCCTAAAGGATTATATATCTACGGAAATGTAGGATGTGGTATACTAAATGGATCCTACACTGTGCTCTTATTGTTTCCATCTCTGTCGTTTAGCTAGTTTAGAAACCGTGGTAGGTGTTTTCATGTAGGCAAGACTATGTTGATGGATATGTTTTATAGCGCTACTGATGGGATGATCAAACATAGACAGCGGTTTCATTTTCACGAGGTGAGTTGAGTGAATATTTAGAGGTTTCTTTCTATTGTTTTGTGGCTACATATAATATAACTGATGTTTTGCAATTTATTTCTTCTGTAGGCTATGCTGAAGATAAATGAGCAAATGCACAAGTATTGGAAGGAGAATGGTGAAGAGAAGTCCTCCCAGTATAGCGTTTCGAGCTGGATTATGAACCTTCCTGTTGATGAGAGAGTCAAGGAATGGCTAGCTGGGGAAGAGTTTTATAAGCAGCAGCTCCAGATGAAACACATTCTTCCAGCTGTGGCCGACAAGTTTCTCGTTGATCAGAAATCAAGTAAAAAAGGAGCCAGCATCCTCTGTTTTGATGAGATTCAGGTAACAGTGTCTACAAGGGATTAGATGGAAACTTGTTATGCTAACTTTGGCCTCAGATGAAGTTGCAAATAGTGTTAACTTGGACTTTCTTTGCGTCTTATTTTTACAGACAGTTGATGTGTTTGCTATTGTGGCCTTATCTGGAATTATGAGCAGATTGTTGACTACTGGAACTGTTCTTGTGGCCACAAGTAACCGAGCACCAAGGGAGTTAAATCAGGTTTCTGATTCTTCTTGTTTCAGCAAGAAAAAATTTCTTTAGCTGTAAACACTCGGAAGTCACTAATTTTCTTACTAATATTGCTGGTACAGGACGGAATGCAAAAGGAGATATTTGATAAGTTTATCTCTAAATTGGAGAAGCATTGTGAGATAATCTCAATCGGAAGCGAAGTAGATTACCGCAGAGTTGCAGCAAAGAACTCAGTTGAACATGTGTGAAACACAGACTCTTTACATCGTTTATTGTTAAGTTTGTTGCTTCTGTTTAATAAAATTTGTTAATATGCATATTTATAGGTTCATTACTTATGTCCTTTGAGTGATGCTGTCATGGAGGAGTTTGAGAAAATGTGGCGTCAGGTTACTGACCAGTATGGTGGAGAAATAACTTCCGCCACTCTCCCTGTGATGTTTGGAAGGTAACTAATGAGAACAATCGCTTTAAC